TAATCATGTCTCCAGGACACTCCTATATATAACACTTAACATCCACTTTGAATCCATCATCACAAAAAATAAAAGTACTGTTGAAGTGTGAGCAATTATGGAAGAATTCAGGGAAACTCATTACTCGGACTTGAGTCCTGGAGCTGGTAAGTACAGTGCCTGTGCTCTATCACTCTTACCTTTGGCAAGTGATAGAGTGAGTGATAATGAAAGTGTTTCTTCTTTCTCAGGACACCCTACATCGGTTGGAGACAGCCGGTATTTTAAAAATAAAGGACAATGGAAAAAACTGACAAGCGGGAATAAAAACACTGGTAGACACTGCACCAGTGTCTTTATCCCCACTTATCAGCTATTGCCATGATCCAGTACCTAACTGAATCTAACCTTGAGTGAAATATATTACAAGAATCCTCTTTTACCTGTGTCTTTATTGCCAGCTGTATGGTAAAACCATTACTGAATGAGTTAGGGGTAAGACAGAAAGTAGGATTGCAGAGGAACAAGGTAAATATTTAGGAAGGGTAGGGGATGAGTAGAGCAAGTGTGGAGCATATATGAAAACAATACTATTGGTCATGTTTATGGATTTAATAAAGGCACATGATAAAGTGGATAGGGGAGCAATGTGGCAGATGTTGCAAATGTAAGGAATAGGCAGTAAGTTATAAAAAAACAAGAGAGTTTATATGTGGATAGTGAGGCTCATGTTATGTAGGAGAAAGGGAGGATCTATTTGCAAATAAAAGTAGGCCTTAGATAGGAATGCGTCATAGAATTACGGATTTAACAAAGTCTGTAAAATTCAGAATTGTTCGTTATTGTTAGCACCATAGAAAAACAATTACATCATTAGGATTTAACAGCTTTACTGGACACCCTCTCCCCCTATTGGTCTATTAAACTGAGCTTTCCTTGTTCTGTATATGTATATACAGTGGGACCTCTACTTACAAGTTTATTCCATTACATGACCTTGCTCGCATCTGGATTTGCTTGTTTGCAGAGTCAATTTTCCTCATTTAAATTAACTGAAATGGAATTAATCCATTCCAGTGGAATTCCAGGCACGACAAAATACTTCAATAATTTCCCTAATACCAACTCTACGGTTTATTTATCTATCTCAATTCATTTAATATGACATAATAAACAATATTAATAACATAGAAACAGAATATACATACTAGAATTAATAAAATACATGTCATCATGTATGTGGCTAGTGGCGGTGACAGCGGCCATTGTTGTTTTACCAGGGTACAACAAGGTTGTTTTAAAGGTACAAGGTCTGCCACTGCTGTTTCATGTTGTCTGCCACTGCTGCTTCATGTTGTCTGCCACTGCTACCTCATGATGTCTGCTACCACTTTTGCTAGCTTGTTGAAGAGCTTTCCAATATGTGAAGGTTGAGGGGCAGTACCAATCGGACCAAAGAATCACCAAAGAATCGAACATTTCTGCTGCTTTGAGCTCAATTTCAAGGTACTTTTTGTCTTGAAACCAATTAAAATCATATCTATTTCTATAGCATATCTTCCATTCTCTCCATGGGGAAGTGGAACAGAATTCTTCCTCCATAAGCCATGTGTGTCGTAAGAGGCGACTAAAATGCCGGGAGCAAGGGGCTAGTAACCCCTTCTCCTGTATATACAGTGGACCCCAGGTTAACAATATTTTTTCACTCCATAAGTATGTTCAGGTGCCAGTACTGACCGAATTTGTTCCCATAAGGAATATTGTGAAGTAGATTAGTCCATTTCAGACCCCCAAACATACACGTACAAACGCACTTACATAAATACACTTACATAATTGGTCGTATTCGGAGGTGATCGTTATGCGGGGGTCCACTGTATTACTAAATTTAAAAGGAGAAACTTTCGCTTTTCCTTTTGGGCCATCCCACCTCAGTGGGATACGGCTGGTATGTTGAAAGAAAGATCTTCCATTCTATCAAATGAGACCATAAAACCGAGAATACAACCATAAAAACCATACAAAAATATACCACTATGGGGAGGCTAATGGCTGAGAAGTGAACTCCGTTATTTATGGTCCGATTTCTTTCATTTTTGGTGTACGTTAAGAAGCATCTTTCCATCATACATTGCCCAAGTTTCAATAAGATAGTCCAACAAACAACTGAGATCAAATTCCTTAGATCAAGAGCAAGAGCCCCTCACCAGCATCAAGGAACCTCCCTTGAGGCCCGCTTGCATCTGGAAATTTCGCTCGCATCTGGAAGCAAAAAATCGACTGAGCGACTGCTCATACACAAATAACCCGCACATAAAAGAGAGAAGCTTACAATGATGTTTCGGTCCGACTTGGACCATTTACAAAGTCACTGCTCATATCTGGAAAAACTCGCAAGTGGATGCACTCGTAAGTAGAGATTCCACTGTATATTGTATGTATACAGTAGATACATACATAAACACTATTTTTTGGATATTAAAAAATAAGAAAATATTTAATTTTGATAATCCAGAAAACAAACTTCCCAATGATTTCCCCCCCCCCCCCATTAATAAGTTGTAACTGCTTGCAGTCTTTATGGATTTAATAATATAGATGCCATAAGAAATAAATAACTTAAACTCTTTCAGAGTTGCAACCCCTGGTCTCAAATTTGCTCTCAGGGTTGCAAAATTTTCATAAAAAAAAATAAAATAAAATTATTTTTTCTTATTAAATGATAATCTATTTCAGAAGGTAATGAAACCAAACAGTACAAAATTTGATGGAAAACTTACGGAATTACGCTCTCACAAAGTTAGCAGTTTTGATGATATTTATGCATCGGTGTTTTTGTCCATTTTGTGCCCTATTTTTGGCCAATTCCACTGTTCCGGTCAACCAAACTCATAGCTGTTTCACTAGTATTTCTTCTGTTTTATCGAGTGAGTACTAGAAACAGCCCATTTGCCTATTTCAACTACCCAAATGATCAGAAATTGGTAATTTCGCCAATTACACACAAAATTCACAAATTGCCAATTTAAAAACAGAGTCCAGAATAAACATTGTAGACATTCCTGGCACTAAAAACATTTATTCTGTTCCTTAGTCACATCTCCAGGCCATTCTTATATTATTACACTTGCTTTCCATTTTGAATTTTTATTCACACATAAAACAGATTTGCTGTTATGCAGACTACTGCATTATTGTAATAATTGTATAAATAATGTCGTTTAGGTAAGACACATATGCAACAGTTAGGTATCTTTATTTCGAAACGTTTCGCCTACACAGTAGGCTTCTTCAGTCGAGTACAGCAAAGTTGATAGAAGCAGAAGAGACTTGAAGACGATGTAATCAGTCCATCACCCTTAAAGTTTTGAGGTGGTCAGTCCCTCAGTCTGGAGAAGAGTATTGTTCCATTGTCTGGAATAATATGGAGTTGAAGTGATAGGATGGAGCCTTATATAGCGCTATATAAGGCTCCATCCTATCACTTCAACTCCATATTATTCCAGACAATGGAACAATACTCTTCTCCAGACTGAGGGACTGACCACCTCAAAACTTTAAGGGTGATGGACTGATTACATCGTCTTCAAGTCTCTTCTGCTTCTATCAACTTTGTTGTACTCGACTGAAGAAGCCTACTGTGTAGGAGAAACGTTTCGAAATAAAGATACCTAACTGTTGCATATGTGTCTTACCTAAACAACCTGTCGGTATTTTATACCATTTTATTGTTCATAAATAATGTCAGTGCATTCCTAAATGTGCATTAGACTGGCCAGTTGGACACATATTGGACAAGTGACATCATTTGTGTACTCTGGAATACAGGCAAAAACTGAACATTTCTACTAATTTGAGCTCAATTTCAAGCTACTTTCAGTCCTGAAACTAATCAAAATCATTTCTATTTCTGTAATATATCTTCCATTCTATCAAATGAGACCAAAACATCAAGAATACAACCATAAAAAACATATGAAAATACACCACAAATTCCCAGTCTTAAACCAAAAACATGGTTGCAGTTTTCTATTATGCACTACATGCTGTGGTGCACACTTACCACACACACTCATTCTCTCATATCTAGGCCCACATTTATCGCTTACAGCTTATCTGAGTGAGCTGAGTAGTACTACGGGACCAATCCTGAAAGAGTTAAAATCACTACATTTCAATGTGCCCGAGTGATGAATGAGTCAACAATGAATCAAGCTAATACCTGATGTCAAAATCAATAATATTAAGCTATAACTGTTTTAAAACCACCTTTCAAGCAGATGAGTGAAAAAAAATCAAAATAGATTATTAAATAAGATTCAAATTCATAATATTAAAGAGTCAAGATGACAGTAAACATAATCAGCTCCTTGGAATATTCAACCCAATTATTTTTCCTTACTAAATCCCTGGAGGCTGGCTAATTGCATCATTTAAAGCAACAAAAACAACATAACACGTTCGATAATTTAGAAAGTTAAATTATTTTGAGTAATCAATTAAATATGAAAGTAATGAGAATATGAAAGTAATCAGAATATGTTAGTAATCAAAATATGTTCTATCCAAATAACAATATCATATATCACTTAAGAATATCTTAAATACTTTTTAAATTCAACTTTTTGATTGATATAAAAGATGTCTAGAGGGACTTCACTGCACAATTTAATTTATCATAGTTATTGAAACCTAAGGTGTGGCAAAAAGCAAACTGATCTTGTGCAGTCATTTCCTTTTTTCCAAATTTTTATACTACATTCTCCATTTTAATACCATTCACTGAAAATCATACATATACCTGGTTTATTCCATTCATCATGTGTACTATAGAGTGGATAGTGACAAAAATTCGCATGTGGGAATAATTCCTAAGTACTATACATACAGTACTAGAATAAAATACTGTATGTGCCAAATAAAATTTTGAGACCCTCATAAAAGTTCCCAGTATGATATTACTGCATAAAGAATGTTGTAATTCATTAAAAGACTACAATGGCCATCAAGATATGATGTACCTGATTTTGTGATGTTGTGATGGACTTATGGAGAGGCAAAGGTTGAGTCCGTTGGGACATATCTACATTGGACAGCCCAGGAGTTCCATGTCCTAATGACAGTGAGGATAGACTGGGATCCACATGCAGAAGAGCAATACTTCCACCCACACCTATACTTGAAGGTACAAGAATGTGCGACGTAGGCGTAACAAGCTGGGAAGGGGAAATGTGTGTTTCTTGATCAGTGTTCGTATTTGCAATCTGTTCTGAACTTCCCTCTTGCACTGTATTGTTGCCAATTGCTTCATTCTTAATTAATCTAGCTCTTAAATTACGAGTCATAATTTGTGACTCCTCACCATTTACACCCTCTTCATCTTTTCGCCTACGTCGTGCTTTCATTCTAAGAGCAATATTTTGTCGCCTTACAGCACGCTGTTCTGGAGTTTCACTTGCTCTTCTTTTCCTCATTCGCTCTGCTGCCTTCAAGCGACGTATAGCCTTTTGTTCATCACTTTCGGTGGCGCGCCTTAATCTCATGCGGTCTGCAGCTTTTTGCCTATCAATCAAACGCTCCTCCGGAGACATAGAGGCTCGACGATTCCTTGCTCGAATAGCAGCTTCCTGTCTTCTTTTTAACTTCTGAACCTCATCCTCACTTGATCTTTTACGTCTCATTCTTTCTGCTTCTCTGATCCGTCGTAACCTCTTCTGTTCCTCTGTTTCTCCAGCTCGTTTTTCTCTCATGCGTAAAGCAATTCTTATTCGGCGCTCAGCTTGGGCTTCATCTGACAGCCTGGGGCGACGGCGCTTTGGGGTTGACGGTTCGGACTGCAGGCTATTTGTTTCATCAACAGCTGCTGGCTGCAGATCAACCACTTGCTCAGATTCTGTGTCTGGTTGAGAAGGATTCTTGTTCATTGCCTGGAGCGAAGCATTTACCTGAATGTTCATCATCAGCAGTTCTGTGGGGTAAATAAGACAAAAACACACATATTGTGATAAACATTGAAGTACATATATCAAATGAAAAGAATAAAAAATTACAATGGTGATTTCAAATGAGTTATACAAGTATGAAAATTTAGGAAAGGAAAATTTAATCAAAATAGATACTGAGGGACATTTAGTAAACTTAGACATTATACAAATCAAGATAGCCCGAATTCATGTCAGAATCATAAAGTGGCATTTTTTAATCCAAGAACCACCATAAACTATCATCACTTCTATTAACAAGTAAGAGGGAGTTAATTTATTTGCATTCAGGCTTCAAAGTTGGATTGTAATTGTAATTACTGCAGTCAACACTAGTAAGTTTATGAGATTAACCGTAGTAGACAACATTTTGAACGGTGAGCTTATAACCTTTTACTTTAATAAGTGGGAACAGTATGTGTGATATACAAATATATCTGTGAACTGTGTGATAAGGAAAGTATTGGAAAATTAGGCACAGATAAAGATGAATGTCACACATGATGCACTGTAAATTTAAATTTCTATATGTAGGAATAGTAATTAGTTGGAGAGTCACACAAGAACACTGCTGGCACTGGTTTTAATGCAAAGGCAGAAGATGGCTGAAATACTAAAATTACCTGCAATATCACCAGCAGTGTAGTTGTATTCAATTACTTCTTGGTCATTACCAGTTTTGTGTTGAGGATGTGTGACAACTGCCTGGAGTGCTTGACGGACAAGATCTCTTTGTGGCCCAATAGTTTGTTGGGATCCATCACCTCCCTGCCCAGCTGATATTTTCATCTCGTCCAAGCGTTCATTTTTCTCTTTCTTAACATTTGCCTGATGTACTCCACAAGCAGATGACATAATAGGAGTCATAACGCACTCTGATGGTTGTATGGAGCTCTGTGAACAAACTGATGTAACTATGGCTGGGTTTACACCTGGCAAAGATACTCCTGGCATAGTTGTCAGATTTGCAGTAGAACTCTGTGCTGACAAATTAGACTGTGAATGTACTAATGTAGTGGTCTGGGAATTATGGTGTAGAGATGAAACACCCCCATCCCCTCCTACAGAGGATACCAACATGGCAGATGGACCCTGGACGTTTAAAACCGAATCTGGTACACGGAAATATGGAGAGCCTCTGTCAGCCTGATGTGCTGACATGTGTGTCCCAACTGGATTACTGCTCATACCTTGACTCACAGTTGCTTGAATGTGAGACAGTGACTTGTGGTGAGAAGAGGTATGAGGTGTCAACTCAAGAGGAACTGCCTTTTCTGCCCCTGCTGCAGAATGTGCAGACAAATCTTGTGGGATGCTTTTGGAAAAGTGGGATGAAAGGTTTGTGTGACCATGACGAGATAGCAATAATGGTCCATCATGATCTAAACCCTTCACTACTGATTGGTGAGATGCATGTATACCCACTCTGTAGGTAGGGATGTGACCACACAGCCCAATCTTGTGAGAAGGTAAGTGAGACTGAGCCAGGTGTTGTGATCCACCAGATCCAGATAATGCCAGAGAGGACAAAGTAGTTGCTGATGATGTAGGAGCCAATGAGGATTTGTGAGCTGCAATGTGTGGAGTGATGTGTTGCGTCTCTTTACTGGTCTCAGCTCCTGTATACATCTTCATAGAAAAAACGCACTCATCTCTCCTGAAACCAAAGAAGTAATGACATTATATTTGAACCTCAAACCATCCATAATAGTAAAAAATTGGAAAATGAAGTATTGTACATGTTCAGTATTAATATCAAACAGTATTATATATCCATCATCTTTCTTTAAGCATTGTAATACAGTAATATCTCTCTGAATAAATTATACAACATCATGTTTGGATTAGAGAAAATTCATATTATAATAATTTAAATCATGGAAAACACTAAGCTTGAAAGGGTAATTCAGTATTGCACACCATAGGCAGAAAAGATGAATATGGTACAGTCAGATTTGAGAAATGCTGAAAAAGCTGTTTACAGAATTAGAACAAACTTAGAAAATGCAGGCATGATGTGGTGCCAACACCTATAAAAACCTGTGCATCAGATCTAAAAGTTCCAAAGATGAGTTACAAAATGCATCCCAGAACTTAAAAAAATGAGTTATGATGAAAGGTTGAAAATACAGTGGTACCTTAACTTACGAGTGCCCCAACTTAAGAGTTTTCCGAGTTATGAGCCATCACTTGATTTTTTGCTGAGTTGCAAGCCAAAATCCAAGTTACGAGCGAGCTTCAGATATGCCACCACTAGTTGGCGCAGCGAACGCCACAACATCCGCCCAGCATCCCAGCGTTTTGTGCAATTATTTTGCCAAATTTTTTTTTTCTAACCATGGGTCCTAAGTAAGTGCAAAGGACAGTGCTGAGAAGAGGATGATGATGTCCAATGAATTAACCCTTTGAGGGTCGGTCCCGTACATGTACTACTTAACCCGTAAACGGTCCAAGCAGATCTACATTCATATGTGTAGTGCTCCAAAAGTAGATCTACTTTTTTTTTACATATTTTCAAATATAAAAAATAAAAAAACGTAGATCAAAGTTTTTTTACACGTTTTCAAATGTAAAAAAAAAAAGATCTACTTTTTTTACATACTTTCAAATGTTGAAAAAACGTATATATACGTTTGGACCGTTTACGAGTTAACAGCCTGTGTCGGTCCCGTACTTATACGTCAAAATTCTAGCGCCTTCAAATCTGATGGAAGAAAGCTGGTAGGCCTACATATGAAAGAATGGGTCTCAATGGTCAGTGTGCGCAGTATAAAAAAAATCTTGCAGCACGCAGTGCATGAAAAAAAAAAAACTTCGATCGTGTTTTTGGTTTAAAACAGCGAATTTGCAGTGTATTTTCATGTGGTATTTATGGGTGTATTCTCATTTTCTTAGTCTCATTTGACAGAATGGAAGATATATTACAGAAATAGACATGACTTGGATTGGTTTCACAATAAAAAGTACCTTGAAATTGAGCTCAAAGTAGTGGAAATGTTCAATTTTTGCCAATGTTCAAGAGTAAACAAATCACACCACGCACCCAATACACGTCAGCTGGTGAGTCTAATATTCTTTCACAAGTGCGCTGATATTATTTATACCATATTTACAATAATGCAGTAGTCTGCATAGCAGTAAATCTTCTATTTTTTTGTGAGAATAAAAATTCAGAATGGAAAGCAAGAGTAATATAGGAGGGGCCTGGAGACTTGACTAATGAACAGAGAAAATGTTATTTTAGTGCCAGGAATGTCTGTCTTGTTTATTCTGGATCCTATTTTGAAATTGGCATCTTTTGAAATTTATGTGAAATTGGCCAAATTGCCAATTTCTGACCACTTTATTGGGTAATTGATATCGGCAAATGAGCAGTTTCTTGTACTCAATCGATAGAACAAATGGAGTTCTAGTGAAACAGTTATGATTTTAGTTGATTGGAACAATGGAACTGGCCAAAATAGGGCCCAAAGTGGGCGAAAGCGCTGATGCATAAATATCGCCGATATCACTAACTTCATGAGAGCGTAATTTCACAAGTTTTCCATCAAATTTCGTACTTTTAGTGTCATTACCATTGGAAAAAGATTCTCTATCATTTCAGAAGAAAAATCAATTTTTTTTTTGTTTTGAAAAACTTTCAACCCTGAGAGTGAAACCCCAAATCCTGAGGTGTCTCCTGGTGTCGCAAAATATTTAAAAAAAAAAATATTTTTTCTTATGAAATGATAGAAAATCTTTTCCCGATGGTAATGACACCAAAAGAACGAAATTTGATGGAAAACTTGCGGAATTACGCTCTCATGAAGTTAGAAATCTCGTCAATATTTACGAATCGGAGATTTCGCCCACTTTGAGCCCTATTTTTGACTAATTCCATTGCTCCAGTTGACCAAACTCATAACTATTTCTTTAGAACTCCATTTGTTCTATCGATTGAGTACAAGAAACTGCCCATTTACCAATTTCAACTACCCAATAAAGTGGTCAGAAATTGGCAATTTGGCCAATTTCACGAAAATTAAAAAATATGCCAATTTCAAAATAGGGTCGAGAATGAGCAGTGCAGACATTCCTGGCTCTAAAATAACATTTTCTTTGTTCATCAGTCACGTCTCCAGGCCCCTCTGGTATTACTCTTGCTTTCCATTTTGAATTTTTATTCAAACAAAAAATAGAAGATTTACTGTTATGCAGACTAATGCAATATTGTAATAATTGTATAAATAACATCAACCCATTCATGACTGCGTATCAGAATGGCTAGCTGGACATTTATTGGACAATGACATCGGCAAAAATCAAACATTTCCCCTACTTTGAGCTCCATTTCAAGGTCCTTTTCCTAGTAAAACCAATCAAAATCACCTCTATTTCTATAATATGTTTTCCCTTCTATCAAATGTGACTACAAAAACGAGAATATAACCATAAAAACTATACGAAAATACACCTCAAAGTCAGCATTTTAATCCAAAAACACGGTCGGAGTTTTTTTTTTCTCATTATGTACTGCGTGCTGCAGGATATTTTTTATATGGTGCACACTGACCACACAGACCCATTCTCTCACATGTGAGCCTACCAGCTTTCTCCTGCTTGATTTGAAGCCGCTAGAATTTTTGAGTATATATCCATCAAACACGGTGGCTCAAAAGACGTATACATATGACCGAAACAGTCAAAGGGTTAAGGATTGGGGGTCTCGACCCTCAAAAGGTTAAAGCATTAAATCATAGAAAAATACGAGAAAATCGCTTCTGTTTCAGTGTTTTCCTTATGAAACTAGTGGTCTACTGTAGTGAACCTCACAAACACTCCATTTTCTCTCATAACAAGACCTCAGAAGGGCAAGAATGGGAAGATATGGTCAGAGTGATAATTATTTTTACCTCGGGGGTGGCCACCACCACTCGTCACATTATAATATATTTTATTCATTCTCGAGTATATATCATGTTTCTATGTTATTTATATTGTTTATTATGTCATATTAGAGCAAATGTGATAGATAAATAAGCAATAGAGTTGATATTAGCATTATACGTATTGAAGTATTTTCTCCTGCCTCCCAAGAGCCAGGAATTCTGCTGGAATGGATTAATGGCATTTCATTTAATTTCGATGAGGAAAATTGATTTGATATATGAGCAAACTGAGTTACAAGCTCAGTCACAGAACAAATTAAACTTGTAAGTCAAGGTACCATTGTAATAGACACCAAACCTGGCTGATAAAAGAAAGACATGATGATAATATACTATATAAAAGGATATAAAAGAACTGATAAATAAGTTTTGAGTATCATTTACCTAACTACATAGTACAGTCATAATTCACAGGTGTCCATCATCCACAAAGCAGACACAAACCATAACCAACAAACCGGGAGACTGAACAATGAACATGAGCAGATAGACAAGTAACAAACCACCAGACAGCAAAGGAGTGATGCACCTCCAACCAATGATTCAAATGGGGCCAATAGCAAACCTTCCATTTTACCTCTACCCACCCAGCAAGGTATTCCCTTGCTGCAGTTCTAGGAGCAGGATCAACTTACAAGTGAGCAGAAACTAGAGTAAACTGTAAGAGTATCCATGTATGGCAAATGCTTAAAGCATTACTTAGTAACCCTCTGCAAGCTGGGTCAAGGCATCAACAAAGACTAATCTCCATCACCATGGAAAAGAAAGGAAATGACTTCAGATGGGGTCATCCCTTTGATATACCTTTGAAATACCTTTGGTAAGTTTCAAGTGTTTCTGCTCCTGGAGCCCAGCCCTAAGGCTTATTTGGTGCTTGCCTGATCAACTAGGCTGTTGCTGCTGGTGGCCCACTGGCCCACATAGCCATCATGACCTATTTGTTCTGGCACTTGGTGGAGATACTTAACGAGTTACTTCTTGAACACCTCTACACCTGTCCCAGCAGTTTCTGATATTTTCTAGAACTATGCTGATACAATGTTCTCTTATTGTGCAGTGCACAAATTTGGGACTAAGCCCTCAAATACTTTCCACATATGTATTATCATACATTTCTCTCTCTCCTCCTCCTTCCCATCTTGTATATATTTAGAACTTTGAGGCATTCCCAGCAATATAAATGCTTTATTGATTCAATGTAGGCCATATATGATCTCTGTATCTGTTTCAGCTCTATCTCTCTCTAGCCCTCAACACTGAACAATACCCTAAACGAGAGAGCAAAAGCAATTTGAATAGTGTCACCATTGGCACTATTTGCCTCCACATCATTTTCCTAGCTATAGCAACATTTGCCTTATTGTGTTCTTTGAGAGAGTTCAGTTGATATAATTACTCCAAGACCTTTCACATGTTCTTTTTGTGCTAAGTGATGATCCTCTTGGATATTGTATACAGTGTCCCATTTGAGTTCTTCATTCTTTCTACATCTAAGCAGCTGGAGCTTATCGCCATTGAACATCATGTTATTCTCCAAAGGCCACTGGAAAACCCTGCTTATATCTTTCTGCAAGGTGATTTTTCATGCTTACTTTGATGACACAAAACTAACAAGTGTTTTTATCTATATCTACTATGAAGATATGAAACAGAAGGGGAAATTCAGAAAATTCTTAAACATTCCAGAAAGTAACCACTCTTATTCAGATTACTGAACTACTATTTTATAGTCATGAGAAGTGCAAAACCTGTAAGGATGAGATAAACTAGATGGCAGAGAGGAAGTGGCCAAGGAAGGTGAGGTACAAGTGATGTAGCACAAATAAAGGCAGTGTCTGCATTGAGGGCAGGACTGTTAGAGGAGCCTTGTATTACAAAAGCAGTAGCAGTGGTGGCATCAGCAATGGCGATAGCATCAACTATGGTGCCAACAGCAAAGGCAACATCAGCGGCAGTAGCATCAATGCTGTGTCAGTAGTGGCAGTGACATTTTCACAGCCAGTGCTGGCAGCAACTTTGGTGGCAATGACTCAGTAATGGTGGCAGTGTTGCTGATATCTGCATTGGCGGCTTCAATGGCAAAGATAGTGTCAACAGTGACATCAGCATCAACAGCAAAAGTTGAGGTCTATTTGTCACAGTTCAGACCAAGTCACATGCTATTAGCCAGAGCAAATTATGATGAATGAGGAAATGGCCCTGCTATTAATGCCCACAAAAACAAAGAGAAAACCAGGGTTATTTAGAAATAAACCAAGGAAAGTAGACTCAGATTCCTCATACCAAGTGCCCTTCATCACCACACTAAGGAACCCTCTTGTCTTATTTGGAAATTTTTGAAGATTTTTCTGAACTGAAATATTTAATTACAAAGGTATTACAATTAAAATCTGAAAGTGACCGTCTAAATTTCGAGGAGTACTGAATACAGCAGCTACTACAGATGAAAATAAGAGAGATATTACTATATTTTGTAATCTATCATTAAACAGTATATTTAATAGTTTATATTACATTTAAATTACTGTACAGTACTGCATAACCTATGTAGAAGAACACGTTTTTCATTAAAATGTTAAATGAAAGTAATTTTTAATTTCTATAATTTTAATTTTGCAAGATATTGATAAGAAGAATACCATAAGATTCTGTATGTGTAATTACCTTAGTACTGTACTGCAGTAACAGGAGAAAAGCTATGCTAGTGGTGTCCAATCTTCTTTAATTTGTTTGTCATACATAGTTTTTCAATTTCCAGTGGCTGAGGCCCACACTATCTTTTCTTGAAGTCCATTCCAGCCATCCATCACTCTGCATGAAAAAAAAAGTACTGTACATTTACTTTCAACTGTATTGTTTTTCTTTGGCTTTTTTTTCATCACATCAAGTTGAAGCTTTTGGTTCATCTTGTTGCTGGTACCTAACAATCTTTTATATTTAACCCTTTCAGGGTTTCGGCCGTACTAGTACGGCTTACGCACCAGGGTCCTTGACGTACTAGTACTCGTAAATTCTAGCGCCTTCAAATCTAGTGAGAGAAAGCTGGTAGGCCTACATATAAAAAAATGGGTCTATGTGGTCAGTGTGCGCAGTATAAAAAAATCCTGCAGCACACAGTGCATAATGAAAAAAAAAAAAACTTTGACCGTGTTTTTGGATTAAAACAGTGACTTTGCACTGTATTTTTTTATGGTATTTATTGTTGTATTCTAGTTTTCCTGGTCTCATTGTATAGAATGGAAGACATATTACAGAAATTGAGATGATTTTGACTGGTTTTACAATGAAAAATACCTTGAAATTGAGCTCAAAGTAGCAGAAATGTTCGATTTTTACCAAAGTTCAAAAGTACACAAATCATGCTAAGCGTCCAATACACGTCAACTGGCGAGTCTAATGTTCTTTCACAACTGCGCTGATATTATTTATACCATTTCTACACTAATGCAGTAGTCTGCATAACAGTATTATTATTATTATAATCAAGGGGGAAGCACTAAACCCGGAGGATTATACAGCACCTGGGGGGGGGATGTGGAAGGCATTCAGGCTTAATTCGGGGAACTGGAGCACAGATCCAATTCCCTAAATCAAGAGCCCCTCACCAACATCAAGGAACCTTCCTTGAGGGGTGCATAACAGTAAATCTTCTATTTTTTGTGAGAATAAAAATTCCAAATGGAAAGCAAAAGAATGTAAGAGGGGCATGGGGATGTGACTAAGGAACAGAGGAAATGTTATTTTAGTGCCAGGAATGTCTTTCTTGTTTATTCTGGACCCTATTTGGAAATTGGCATCTTCTGAAATTTGTGTGAAATTGGCAAAATTGCTAAATTCTGACTACTGTATTGGATAGTTGAAATCGGTAAATTGGTGGTTTCTTGTACTCATTCGATAGAAAAAATAGAGCTCTAGCAAAATAGTTATGATTTTTGTCGACTAGTACATTGGAATTGGCCGAAAATAGGGCTCAAAGTGGGCAAAATCGCCGGTGTAAACATCGTCGAGACCGCAAACTTCACAAGAGCATAATTCCGTAAGTTTTCCATCAAATTTCATACTTTTGGTGTCATTATGATCGGGAAAAAATTCTCTATCTTTTCATAAGAATTTTTTTTTTTTTTCTTTTTTAAATTTGGGGGACCCTGAGAACAAGCCTCTGAGAGGGCCTGTGGACCCTGAAAGGGTTAATTCTTCATACTCCATTATAAATCTGTATGCTTTTATCATGCCTTCTTTCCTCCAGTCTTGTAATTCCCTATTTGAATTTGCAAATAAGAGAGCTCTAGCTCTCAGGTTCACATTTTAACTTTCAATTTACTTATTACTTCCATCATATGAAGCCAATTTCTGTGTCACTGTTTAACTCAACTTCACCTCTTTGCTGATCTTATGTTGAAAAAGTGCTTTCTTATTTCTCTTTACTCACATGTGCAGTTTCCATCTGTGTCCCTTTGGTCTGGATAATCCCCTGGAAAATATTCTGTCCTTGTCTCTGTCTGTATCCCAAGTATTTTGTATGTTGTGATAATATTTTCACTTCTACACAGATAACCCGCACTTAGGAGAGGGAAAGTAATGACAACGGCTCGGTCTGATTTGGACCATTGACAAGTCACACCGAAGTGAGAAGGTAAGAGGGCCAGAATATACAGGAGGGTCCCATTTATACAGCAGGTTAAGTTCTGGGCTATTACTGTTGAGTGAAAAACACTGTAAAGTGAAACATAGCCTTTTTTCTCTTTCAAATGCATATAAAAGCCTGATAATATTTTTATGATATCATATATTAAGTGAGCAATAGAGCTAGGCCTAAAAAATGCATATACATATATTACTTACTGTAATATATTTTTGTCTTGAGCTTATAGGGAATGGCGAATATATTTACTGTAGGAAGTCTAAAGAATGGGTATAATTGAAAATCGCTGTACCAAAGAGCTGTAAAGCAGGGCCCTCCTGTATACAAGAGGAGACTGGGAAAGAAGTGGAAGATAATGGTGGTGAAAGTAGTAGTAGTAGTAGTGGTATTGGAAGGCACAGAATAGTGGCAGAATAATAAAATAATTAAGCACTAAACAAACAGTGGCAGTAGCAGTAGTAGTGGTAGTAAAGAACATAAGAACATAAGAACGAAGGAACACTGCAGAAGGCCTACTGGCCCATGCGAGGCAGGTCCAAGTCTCCTACCGGCTTAAGCCAATGCACCCAACCTAGTCAGGTCAGGTCACATTGACTTAAGGGAGGAACACAGCAACCGACCTGGTAGCACAAGCTATCAGGTCCAACTCACACACACCCACATCCACTCATGTATTTATCCAACCTAGTTTTAAAGCTATTCAACGTTCTGGCCTCTGTAACTGTATTCGGGAGTTTGTTCCACTCATCCACAACTCTATACCAAACCAGTACTTTCCTATATCCTTCCTGAATCTGAATTTTTCCAACTTAAAACCATTGCTGCAAGTCCTGTCTAGGCTAGATATTTTCAGCACACTATTTACATCCCCTTTATTTATTCCTGTCTTCCATTTGTACACCTCAATCATATCCGCCCTAATTCTACGTCTTTCTAGAGAGTGCAGATTCAGGGCCCTTAGTCTATCCTCATAGGGAAGGTTTCTGATACATGGGATCAACTTTGTCATCCTCCTTTGTACATTTTCCAGAGCATTTATATCCATTCTGTAATACGGTGACCAAAACTGTGCAGCATAATCTAAATGAGGCCTAACCAAGGATGTATAGAGCTGAAGAACAACCTGAGGACTCCTATTATTTATGCTTCTTGATACGAAGCCAAGGATTCTATTAGCTTTATTGCGAACACTTATGCACTGTTGCCTTGGTTTCAGATTACTGCTAATCAGAACTCCTAAATCTTTTTCGCAATCCGTATTATTATTATAATCAAAAAGAAGCACTAAGCCACAAGGTCGCAATCCGTAATATTAATAAAGGTAGCAGCAGTGATAATAAGTGGTGGTAGTAATGATCAGGTAGTAGCAGTACTATTACCTCTCCCTCCATCTCCTGGCCCCTTTCATATATATTCTGGCTGTCATTTCTTCTCACTTCAGTGTAACTTGTCAGTGGTCCAAGTCAAACTTAAGCATCATTACTTCCCCAGTCCTAAGTGTGGGTTATTTGTGTATAGTTCCATCCAGAGTACTGTAACTTTTCATTCATTATATATTTGTTCTGCACATTCTTCCTCTATCCTAACAGCTCAGGCACCAGTCTGAATTTATGCTTTTGAAAATTACTGAATTTCTCTGTTTGGCTAAGTGATTTGTTTAGATTTCTAAAGCCATCTTTAGGTTTCCCATGCCAAAATAGTCTGCTGTTATACTGCAGTATTTTGTTTATGTGCCCTTTGAGAAACAAGTTTAGAGTAACTCTTATTTTTGGCCTTTTATCTTTGATTCTTTGAGCATTTTATTCCTCCTGAATGGTATCTTTACCCAGTGCCCATTATTACTATAGTCACAAAAAATTCCCCAGTTTTACTGCAATGCAGTTCCTGGGATTGAATACCAATAGGCATTTGTTCAACCATGTCTATAACCTGTCCAGTCATTGTAATTACCTTCTCTTTCATTCCAGCCATCTACCACTGTGTAAAAATAACTGCACAGCTATAGTGTACACTTTTTTATTTTGAAGAGTAACTTAAAGCTGTGGCTGCTCATATACCTATTGCAATGTGGTATTAAGTTGGCCTGTTTCTACTCCTATCTTCTAACAATGTCAAAGTTTTTAATAAATTTTTCTATTTTGCTTTATCATATGTTAAGTACAGTATTGGCAGGAACACCATAATGATGCTTAGCTGCATATTCTAGTTGTGATCTAACATACATTACGCTATACAGTGGACCCCCGGTTTTAGGCCGGTGTGGAAATTGGCCAATTCAGAAATTGAGCACTTTTTTCGGCGAAATTCCCCCCCGGATTTTGTGGCTCCACTCGGAAATAGAAGCGTCCACCCAGCCGCCAGATGCACTACCTCATGCGTATCACAGTCTCTCTCTCTCTCTCTCTCTCTCTCGTCCAGTAAGGGGTACTCCACGCCTTCATCCATTGTTTTTTTGTGCTTTCTTCATTGTTTTTGTGCTTCTTTGTTGTTTATTGATTGTGAAATAAGCCACCATGGGGCCAAAGAAAGTTCAGAGTGCCAGCCCTTTGGTAAAGAAGGCGAGAAACACAATAAAATTTCAAAATACGAAAGTGGTGTACGTGTGGCAGAGCTGGCCAGGATGTATGGGAAATCTACATCAACAATCAGTTCCATTCTGTTGAAAAAAGCAGAAATCAAGGAAGCTGATGTTGTGAAAGGTGTAAATATGCTAACAAAACAGAGGTCTCAGACAATCGAGGATGTGCAGAAGTTATTGTTGGTGTGGATCAACGAGAAACAATTAGTGGGAGATAGTGTTTCGGAGGGGATAATTTGCGAGAAAGCAAGCCAGCTGCATGCAGATCTTGTAAAGAAAATGCAGGGAACGAGTGCTGCTGTTAGTGAATTTAAGGCAAGCAAAGGCTGGTTTGACAGATTCAAGTAGCAAAGTGGCATGCACAGTGTGGTAAGGTATGGCGAGGCTGCAAGTTCTGACAAACGTGCTGCCAAATCATTTGTTCATGAATTCAAGGGGTACGTAGAGGCCGAAGGATTCCTCTCCCAACAAGTGTTCAACTGTGACGAAACAGGCCTCTTTTGGAAGAAAATGCCAAAGAGGACCTACATCACGCAGGAGGAAAAGCCACTGCCAGGACACAAGCCTATGAAGGATAGGCTTACTCTTTTG